GCTGAACCACCAGACCATGGCAAAGGCTTGTCTTTAAACTCTGATTTCCAAGACAGCTGTCATATATTTACCTACACAGTTTTGCATACCGACCGGCCAATTTGGACCGTAATGCACATATTCTAGTACTATATGTGAATTTTTCTATTTTCCGTAACTACTCAGAATATACTGTATAGGGCTACATTAATATTCTGTGTTTATAGTTTATCTATCTAGGAAGCTGCCTTAAGTCTGGAATTCTGAGAAATCCTGGTTTTCGAACTTGCTTCCAAAATATAGGATCTTTTTTCAGCCACAATCTACACTTAAAAGCAGGAGTTACTTCAAAGAATTCCAGCTTAAATTTGCAGATGCTTCCTTAAATTTGAGATCATGCACCTCTTCTATATCCAGCATCAAAGATTTTATCAGTAGCAGTGCTAATATCCAAATTTGGATGGGCAAGAGCCTACAAGTGGGATGTTTCTCTGCTAAAAAATCTTGTGAATCCCTTGCACTAGGGAATAAGTTATTTAACTGATCTATAGTAAAGAAAAAATATAAACAAGAAGAGTTGGCAAACACATTATCTTGAAGTAACTTTTGAATTTCCTCTTTCAGCATGCTGGAGAACTACCATCTTTCTTTGCTAATTAAAGGTGTGTCAAAAAGCAGATCACCACAAGGGTAAAGCTTTTCTTCCTGGAATCTATTCATACAATATGCTTATTCATTGGTGGGCATGTGAGATTTTTGTTGACACTTGTTTTAATTACCTTAATCACCAGACAGGAGAAGCATTATTTTTCTATTGGGATTTTCCATAGGCTGAGCTAATTTAAACCCTATGTAAATCCTGCTGCCCATGCCTCAATAGTAGGAAGCCAACATATCTGCACGCAGCCTGCTGGCAGTGGGGATGCTGCATCCCAGGGTGAACACGCACCTCACGGCAATCTGCTGGGATTCAGAAACGAGTGCCAGCAGCTGGTGGGGGAGACAGGGGAGGTCAACCTGAAGTATGACTTGGGAGAGTTAGAAAATGCTTCTAGTATGGGACCCAGCTGGAAAACCAGGGTGAGGTGATGTCTAGCTTTCCCCATGGGCTGGGCGACAATGCATGCAGCAGCCCACAGTGGGACAGTGGCGGATGCCAAGGTCAGGATGTGCCAGCCAGCCTCCCTGCAGCTGCCCTGTGCTGCTGGGAGAGATGGGCTTAGATCACGGAGGAGCAGAGAAGTTAACAGATGCCCATCTCTTTATAGTATTTTGGTAGTCTGCTCAGGATGTAGGCATTTCTGAGTGTTGAGTCTGGCTCCTCCTGTGATCAGGAGATCTAGGTGTGCCTCAAGCAAAGGAGGAAGCTCCCAAGCTCCCAGGCACTGAGCACCTGGGGAGAGACTCAGTGGCAGCAGAGCTGCCCAGAAACAATTTTTTTTTTTAATTGAAAGCATTTGTCCTCTGCTGCTGCCTCCAGTGTGAGCCAGCAAAGACTCAGCCATTCCTCGTTGAATGTGTCAGGAACGCTAAGTCTGTGCTGGAGGGATGCTTCCATTTCCTCTCCATCAGGCATATGGAAAGTAGCTGGCAGCTTCCGTGTCTCTAGGATGGAGATGGGGACCTCTGGTCCAGGGCTGAAGAGATGAGAGAGGAGGGAGGAAAGCTGCTTCTTGCTGTCTACCTTGGGGGAGCACAGGAGGGGGTTCCTGGGGACCACAGGAAGGGTATAACTGTAAGGAGCCTGGCACATGGAGCGGAGAACACCCGAGGTGTTGATATCGGGCACAGCACTAGGCAATGGAACGGTTTGAAAAAAGAGCCAGAAAACACCCCCACTCCCAAACTCTGGGCCTCTATCCTGACCATGCATGAATTGGGCTTTGGTAGGAGCAGTTGCTACCTGCTTTCTTCTCACTTTCTTGTCTCTCCGCAAAGACAGCCCATAGGACTTGCAGGGGCTGCCACGACACGGAGGATGCCAACAACATCTACTGTGCCCTGAGTTGCTTGGAGCTCGCTCCTTCACTACTCCTGTGAATGGAGATCCCTCCTTTAGGTCTGCTTAATGCAGGGTGGGGTACTTTGGCAGAAGCAGGGCACATGCAGACGGAGGTAACAGAGGAGGATTTGGGGTCCTCATGAACTTGTGGGGTAAACAGACCAAGTGATTATGCTTGCCATATTTATCTGAC